GTTTACGTGGTTCGATCCAACTGGATCTACGTCCACGGGAGGGAATCAATCAAATAGTTCACTAAGGCAAAAGAAATGGAGAATACATAGTTTATACATAGAGATGAGCACTCATCTTCCTTCTATGGCCTCCCTCTCAAGCGGCACCTTGATACAAGGCCTCAAGATGCTCTCTTCTTCTCTAGCTCTCTAGTTATTCTCTCCTCCTTTCTGGTAGCTTAAGATCTCTTCTTTTGCTCTCCTAAGTCTCACACCCTCTCTATTTATAAAAGCAAGAGAGTGGTAGATGGGAGGTAGGTGAGCGGTAGGTGAGATGTGGTAGGTGAACGGTACCACATTACAAAAGTGTTCTTTTACCTTAATTCAGTAATTGAGGGTCAAAATAGCAATGAGTTACATGCCAAATCATTTAATCTGATGTTGACAGTCTGTTTCTACAAAGAATCACTGGCTAATGAGCGAAGGACAATTTTCACCCGGTTTTAGATGAGCATTGATGGATTAAAAAAAATGTGTAAAATATTTAGAAAGTATTTTTTTTATTATTTCGCAAAAAATATTTACAAAATATATATTTTTCATATTTTTTTATAATCTCATGGTTACGAAGCATCAAGCTTTCTAAGGAAAAAATGTCTGGTCTGGAACTTCGCTGGCCATTAAAATAATTAAATAATTTTAGAAGTGTAAATTGATTAAAAGATAAAAATAAAGGGAGTTAAAAATAACTTTGGTTCTCAGCCAACCACGGCACACCTGCAACAGCACATGTGTGGCTAATAATAACCTCGTTTACTGGCAACCGACCAAAGAATATCAAAAGTTACTCTACAAATATGCCGGCAGGCGAAGAAAGCTACCTACCAAATCTGAATCCCATTTTTGTTCTCCTTCTCATTCCAGAATCCCACCCACCAACTATTCCCAATGTCAGGAGCGAACAATGTAAATTTGAGTAGAGGTGATAATCGTAACCAGGCCGGGTATGATTGCCGGAACAATTAAGATCGTCGTCATGAGCAGTGGTCGAACTCTTATCGAGGTTCGGGAGGTTGTGTGCCTCCATGGATACAATTCCCTAGAGAGCAACTGCGGCCTCACATTGTACCATTGATCTCGCCGCCTATGTATCTGATGTTCATTGGGAATGTCTTTCCGTCCCACTGGAACAGTACTTATCAAGTCCCCAATGACATTCCTTGTCAAGTCCCCAATGGCATTCCTTGTAAGATTCTACTGTCATTTTTCAATTAAATTGCAAATCAATTTCTACTTTTGTTGCTTAAATATTCTTATATGGTTTTGCAGATTTTCCTTTAAATGCATATAACAATTCATTCCGCCTGCAATTTCAATACTTGTGCGGGTCATCTTTTGTTCCTTATCAAGGATTTTATGCAGCACTGCAATCAAATTTTTCTTTTTTGCTGGTCAATATGCGAGCGAACTTGCGGAAGCAAATTCAGTACTATTTTAGGTATGCTTGCAATATTGTTGTTTTAAAATTTTAAAATGACTCCATATTTTTTATTAGTATTGTGTTGCATGTATTATGATTCCTGCAGTTCGGAGAATTTGTGCACTGATCATTACCTGAAAGAGCACATGGATGACCATGGTTGGGTTCCAGTAACTTTGATTGCACAGTTTAAGAGAGTGAGTAATTTTAGTTTGTTTATTAGTTATTCTGTTTAGTTTGACCTTCTTTCTTTTTTACCTTTTTAAAGTTTATTTTACGGGTGGTTTGGAAGTCAATTTTAAGCAAGATTTATGCTAAATAACGACAAAGGGCCAAAAAAAAAAGCACTAATAAATATTACAAGTTCTTAAATTTTTATCTTAATTTAAAATTATCAAATTATTTATCAAATTTTATTAAGATTTATATATTATCATACCAAACATTTTTTCAGCATTTAAACCTTTTAAGATATCATAAATTTAAACCTTTTAAGATATCATAAATGCGGATTTATAGCATTTACTAAATCCTATTTATACTAAATCCTACTTGGAACCAAATAGCCCCTTAGTTTACTCGTTTATTTATTAATTTTGCTATTGTATTTATTTGAATTTTATGGTTCATCCTTATAAAATTATTTACTGGTCTATTATATAGGTTCAACGATTAATGAAGAAAAGACAATTCATATATGATTCATTCAGACTCTGGAGTTTCATGGAAGTGCAGGTAATTATATATATTGTTTACCCAATAAAATTAATTGTTTAAATCTAGGAGATTTTTTTTTAAAATAAAATTATTTTTCTTATAGAGGTTGGGATAATTATTATCATAATTATTATCTTTTATTTTTATTATGAATTCAACCTTAGAAATTATTTGTTGTTGTGTTACAGGTTAAGTCGTTAGCCGATGATATACAATTTATATTAGAATCTTTAAGGCCTTCAAATGCTGTGGAAGTGCGGGTAAATAATATTTAATTGTTGCATTTAATATTGCATTTTTGTTTTTTTTCCATGAATTTTGAAAACTAAAGAATATGAATCACAAGGACTAAAAGAAGGAATTTGGTTCCAATATTTTGTTCAACATAGGATAATATTTTCATGTGCATTTTCATATTTCTATTTAAAAAAAAAGTATTATTGCCATAATTTTTTTGATTTGCAAGAACAATGCATGTTTCAATTCTATAATTTATGTGATAAATTCTATAGTTTATGTGACAATTTTTTATTTACATGCAGGGTGATAAAGTGAGAAAACGCTATGAATGGAAGAAATGGGTGTTACAACCATAAACCTCTGCTCGTTCCAGTGTTAAATTTGGGAACCAATTTCCAACATCCTCAGATTATGAATCTCTGAAAAAGATTGTGCGGTTGAAGAATTTTGATGATAAGAAATATTTTGAGTTAGAATTCATTATTAAAATTTTATCACGATGAAAACCAAAATTTTAGAATTTATTTTGATATGAGTGCAATACATACATAACCCTAAAGTATCACCAATATTAATTTTTTTTTGGAGATTTACATGCCCAACCATAATAACCCCCTAATTTTTTTAAAAGCGTAATGCCTTTTCCGTACATGTGAATTGATGAGAATCATGTTATAGCACTAATTTTTAACACCAAAAGGTGTTTTTTTTTTTTTTTTTTTTTTGGTAAATATCAACAATTTGGTGTTAAATATGTAAATACGTAAGAAATATGTGGTATGCATGCAAATCACAAAAAATAAGTTTAATGATTTTGAAATCTGTCCTGGTTAAAAATTTTATAGATATTATTCTCACCTAATTTTCTTTCATTATCCAGTACACGAGATTCAACCGACATAATAAGTACAATTTGATGATTTTTGAGGCTTGGAAACCTATTAAACACTGGAATATCATAAATGTTTACAAAAAAATAGAGAACATGGGAGACTAATTTTAGTAACTTTTATACAAGTAAAAATAATATTATGCTACTTATATGTTATGGAGATATATAATTTGTGTAATGTTAGTTGGGTCAAATAGTCCTTTACAATTAAGAATAGACAAGCTCGCACCAACCCACTTACACGATGGCATGGTGTGATCTACTCCGACTTTTGGACATCTAGACTCTCTTCTGCCACGGGGCTATAGGTTTATATGTTATTTTCTTTTAGATATGTTGTAATTTTTGTTTTTGTGATGATTTAAGAGTTGGGGGCAAATTTTCAGGATATTCTTGTATGCTAGCCCTCGAACTTATTAGTATGACTATCCTTTGTAAAAATTCTTTAATGTGACTTATTAGATTTCAAACTCTCTCTCTCTCTCTCTCTCTCTCTCTCTCTCTAACACACACTCAATGGTTTCAAAATCCTTAGAAAAGAATTCGATTTCACGAACATTATTAGGCTTTTAGCCGTATTCCAATATATCGATAGAAAGAATAAAAACTAATAATGATGTCATTGTAATGCAAAAATCAAATTATCAATTTTATATAATTTGTAAAATCTTATGATGTTTGAAGCCAATTTTGACGTCTAAGTACATTTATTTAATTATTTTAAATAATCTTGGAGTTAAAAGGAAACTACATGCGTCCCTCAGCGCAATTAGACATAACTTTGTAACTCTTGTCACGTGAGATCAATGCCTTCCTCTCAATGTTCTATGTCGTGACTAAAAGAAAAAGAAAAGCCATTATATATATATATAAAAGAATAGTATTGGAAATACATCTCCCTTATGTGTTATTTGTTTCCGCAAGAAGCAAACCCGGGTCAGATGAGACCTACGCCTCAGCTGCCTACCAACTTGTCTCCCTAAATGCATCAAACATATAAATTTACTTCAAGTCATAAATTTGAATGTTCAGTCTATCACAATATATTATATGATTGGAAGAAAATGCTTAAATTTGAAGTTCACTTGCAAAAGTGAAATATGAAGTTTATCCATGAAATAGTCAATCCATGAAAGGGGTGTAAATGAGTTGAGTTCAAGTCAACCTAACTCGGGCCCTTCTTGTTTGTCAAAGCACAAGCCTGAGCTCAAGCTTGAGCTTGGCTTGTGATACTACTCAATTTTAAACTTAAATTTGAAGCTCACTTGCAGAAGTGGTAAGTTATTTTTAAATTTTTTTGACATGATGGATAAATGATCCCAATGATCGGTGAATTAACGACTTAATTTTTTTTCTCACTTCTTATCACAAAAGCAAATTCTGAAATATTTCTTCTTAAAAAATTTGCTTAATTTTTTTTCCTCTTAACACCAATATCTCTTCGAACAATAATCGCAACAACAAAAAAATTTTGGTAAAATTTACATATAGACCACTCAATTTTTATGTAATTACAGATCAAGTGCTTAACCCTCAATTTTTAAAAACCTATGAACTTACGTCTGCATAAAAGTTATATTTCACCTTTTTAAACTCAGAATGAAGATATTTTTTTGTTGATATGAAAAAGTTTGGATGGTACAAATTTACAAAATAAAAGTTAGGAGTTAACATGTTTGCTTACATAAAAAAATGAGTGTATTTATGTAAACGTCCCTAAACTTAAAAAACAACAATAGCATTCTTAGTCAACGAGAATGGCAAAAAATATTATATCAGTCTATCACTAGTTAGACAGCAAATAATATTTGAGCACTAGCACACTATCATTCCCTAAACTCTCTCACTTTATTTCTTACATGCACCTAATATTTTCTCGTGAATATTTTCTTCAAAAATAGAGGACGTCGCCTCTCACATGCCTAGTTCATTTTCATTCATTCTAAATAATACAAATACATGCCATAAGAAAATCAGGAAGCAAGATGGAGGTCCGGGTCCACTTTCCCATTAATTGATAAAACAAACAAAATTTCTTCTTTCTTAACCAGCATGTGTCCTTATAAAGCACAGCATCTCATTAAGGCTCCGTTTGGTGCGATGATTTTCGAGCGGTGAGTGGGGAGATCGGTGTAGAGTTTTCTTGTAAGTTTGTTTCTTTTTCGGTATATATCGGTGTAGAGTTTTCTTAATTGAGTTTATTTCTCTTGTAAGTTTGTCTTCTTCGGTGTATATCGGTGTAGAGTTTTCTTCAGCACATCTCGGTATAGAGAGAGAAGAACGGGTCGAGGTGATCGACTGATGTAAATTTCCTCAAGTAATAAAATCCTCTGCAACTCCGTGAACATAGACAATTTGCCGAACCACGTAAATCTGTATGTTCCGCTGTGGAGTTGTTGTTTTCTGGTGTGAAAATTGTTGTTATATTTTTCGCTTTGTCGATCGTTCTACTATTTGATATATATATATATATATATACAACATCAACTGGTATATCTAGATATATATACAACATCAATTAGTATATCTAGATCTCGCAACAACAACAACTGGTATCAGAGAGTGGTTTTGGATCTGAGGAAGAATGATGGTTGCAGATGAAGTAAGAGTTTCAGGGATCGAGAAATTTGATGGCACGAATTTTGGTTATTGGAGAATGCAGATAGAGGATTATCTTTATGGGAAGAAACTTCATATTCCGTTATTGGGAAAAAAACCTGAAATGATGGATGAGACTGAATGGAATTTGTTGGATCGAAAAGTTATAGGGGTTATTCGATTGACCCTATCGAGATACGTTGTACACATCATCGTCAAGGAAAGAACGACTGCGGATCTCATGGCAGTCTTATCAGGTATGTATGAAAAACCATCGACGAATAACAAGGTGAACTTGATGAAGAAGTTATTCAATTTGAAGATGACGGAAGATGTTTCGTTGTTCAACACCTGAATGTTTTCAAAACTATCACAAATGAATTGTCATTTGTGGAAATTGATTTTGATGATGAGATATATGCACTGATCTTGTTGGCTTCATTGACAGATAGTTGGGAAGCCATGAGGAAAGCAGTTGGCAGTTCTGCAGGTAAATCTAAATTGAAATACGATGATATTAGTGTTTTGACTTTGGCTGAGGAAGTTCGCAGGAAAGATTCTGCCGAGATCTCAGGTTCGAGTTCGTCACTGAATGTTGATTTCAGAGGGAGATGACATAACAGAAACTCAAGTATAGGGGGATCAAAATCAAAGTTTAGTAAGCAGACAACTTGTTGGAAATGTGGTAAGGCTGACTACATAAAGAAAAACTACAGAAATCCTAAGAAGATGGAGAATGATAGCGCATATGTGCTATCTGAAGAATCACAGTACGCATTATTGTTGGCAGTTCATAGTTTTATTGAAGACTTGATATTGGATTCAGAGGTTTTGAATGTGGTAGGAAATCTACCAGAGGCCACAGTGCAGGGCAGTGATGGAAGTGAAGAGGAAAGTAGGTCCGGGACACCCATTCCTATTGTTCCAAAAATAGATGTTGAAGAACCACAGAGCAATGAAAAAATCTTGCAAGATGAAAGTTCGAGCAAGTGAGAGCTGACAGAGATTCCACCAAGGAAGAAGACATTTCACAACAAGTCGATGTACCAGGTGAAGGCTGAGTGTGATGACAATAAGAGGTACAATGTTAGACTTGTTGAAAAAGGCTTTTAGCAGCGACAAAACATTTCTCATGCAGTGGGAGTTGTAAGAAGAGACAAGAGTGACCCAGGAAATAGCTTGGAGGTGCAAAGCTATGTGGAGCCTGATGATATGTTGACTGGGGGGTTACTCTTGAGAAACTGAAGTTGTGCACAGCTTCAGTTGGTTTTCTGGAGTGAAGACACGGGCTTTGAGTTGCGAAGATGGAGGATTTAAGGTGGAGGATACATGTTGAAGAAAAAGGCGACACCGCTAGTGGAGGATATCAGTTTGAGGAAGGAGATGTTGCAGCCTGTGTACCGGTCTCCAAATGGGAGAATTGTTAGAAACGGTGCAGCCCGGTCCACTATGCTTGGGTGGTTACTTTATTTTGGAGAATCACACCTCTTCAAAAATAACCACTTCCGCCTTCCTCTTTTTTGAAGTGAAGCATCTCTTCACTCCCTCATGTTCGTGATAAAAGCTTCGGATGACTCTCCTTGGGTTTAGTAATCACGCTTTGAGTTCTTCTTCGATTTTTTCGAGATAGAGGAAGGTTTCCTTGGGGCAAAGGAAGAGAAGTGCAAGGAGGAGAGTTCCTTGTGAGTTCCTTGTGGTAGAAGGAAGAAGAAGGAAGAAGAAGAAGATTGTTATCCCTAGGCTTATTCTTGGTGTCTTGTGGCAAAAGAGAAATTGGGTCTATTTCTCTTGTAAGTTTATCTCATTCGGTGTATTTTGGTATCGGTGTAGAGTGGTGTAGAGTTTTTTTCGGTGTATCTCGGTATAGAGAGAGAAGAACAGAGAGAGAAGAAGAGAGAAAGCAACGAAGAGTGAGAGATTCCTCTCATAAGTCGAGGTGATCGACTGGTGTAATTTCCTCAAGTAGTAAAATCCTCAGCAACTCCGTGGACGTAGGCGATTTGCCGAACCACGTAAATCTGTGTGTTCCGATGTATTGTTCTTTCCTGGTGTGATTTTTCTCATCTATTTTTCACTTCTTCGATCGTTCTTGTGTTTGATTTATATATATACCACATCAATCGGTATATCTAGATCTCACAACAACAACACACCACTGCAGTTGAAAAACTGAGAAGCTGCAGCTGCGCCAAACAGAGCCTAAGCCTCTTATGTTCCACTGCAGCCATGTCTCTCTTCCTTGTTTCCTACTTCTTCGTCATTGTACTCATCTCAACGGAGGACGGTGCATTGGGTGGCGGGAGCAGCCAGACCTGAACAAACTTGATGTGTTAATGGCTCCAGGTTCAGCACCGGCGAGTGCTCAGAGTGCATGTTGGCACTGGTCAAAGCTAGAGTTGGCGACCGGAGAAACCATAGCCGCCGGCTTTGCTGCCGCCGTTGTAGTGGCCGTCTTTGTTTAAATTTGAACCATCAGGGAAAAGTTATGGTGGCGATGTTTAACTACTGGTAACTGTGAAGCGGTTAAAAATCGCTGCTAATTATTAGTGCTGCAAAGAATTTTACGAGTGATCCCTAAATCATTGAGAAAGATTTTCAACAACGTTATTTTTTGCAGCAGTTTTAAATGCGTTTTTAATTATAGCGGCTCTAAGACAATCGAAATTTTTTTTAACTGTGATTATTCTTGGCAGCGGTTTTAACTGCTGCTGATTTCAAGGTTTTTTTAATTAATTTTTATAATATACGCATTTTCAATTATCTTGTATATATAATAACATAAACATATATGAAAGAAGATTTACATATGTAATTTTGTGCCTATGACAGTGTAAATGTAAAGATTAAAATTTTTGTTAGATATGGAAATAAATAGAAATGGGTGCTATGCATTCAAATGGCCCAAAATTGAAAAACAATGACAAAAAAAAAACACAATTCATATAATATTGATAATATCTCATGTACATCAATCCATGATTTCAGTTTCTAATAACTTAAAAAGGTATTCTTTAAGCAAAAAAATGCATAAATTCTTTGAGTAGATTCTTTGAATGGAGTGGTAACATCTCATATACATTAAAACATCTAGCAATTCATGATATAAACCTCCATCAAGCTTGCAATAAAAGAATTCAGCAGGCATCAAACAAAAATGTATAAAAAAGAATGATTAATAAGTGTGATTCTCCCTCAATTCGTATTCAGATTATTAAGGTTTGTGGCATCCCTTTTAAGAAAAAACACACAACCAATTAATAATTTAAGATGATTTCATTAAGATGATTAAAATGAAATAATATACTAATTACTTATAAAATAACATACTCAGTGTGATCCTCCTTGTGGTTTATAATTCTGCCGCATTTATTGCATGAATTGTCTCACCTCATACCGTAAGGAGCAACAACAATGCGAAGAAGCAACAAAAAAAAAAGGAGACTTCTCAAATGAAGTAAGGCACACATGAATACAAAGCGGACAAAAAGAAAATGAGTTGTATGCCACATCATTTAATCTGATGTTTACAGTCTGTTTTTATTAAGAATCTCTGGCTAATGAGCGATGGAAAATTTTCATCCCGGTTTTAGATCAGTATTGATGGTTAAAAAAAATTTTAAAATATTTAGAAAGTATCTTTTTTTCTTATTTCACATAAAAAATTTACAAAATATATATTTTTCATAATTATTTTTTTAATGTCTTGGTTACGAAGCATCAAGCTTTTTAAGGAAAAAAATGTCTGGTCCGGAACTTCGTTGGCCATTAAAATAATTAAATAATCTTAGAAGTGTAAATTGATTAAAAGATAAAAATAAAGGGAGCTAAAAATAACTTTGGTTCTCAGCCAACCATGGTCCAGGTGCAAGAGCACACGCGTGGCTAATAATAACCTCTTTTGCTGACGACCAACCAAAAAATATCAACAGTTAGCCTATAAATATGCTGGCACACGAAGAAAGCTACCTACCAAATCTGAATCCCATTTTTCTCCTCCTCCTTCCTTCCGGAATCCCATCCACCGACTATTCCCAATGTCAGACGCAAACAATGTAAATTTGAATAGAGGTGACAATCGCAACCAGGTCGCGTATGGTTACCGAAACGATCGAGATCGGCGTCATCAGCAGTGGTCGAACTCTTATCGAGGTTCGGGAGGTTGTATGCGTCCATACATACATTTCCCTAGAGAGCAACTGCGCCCTTACATGGTACCAGTGATCTCTCCGCCTATGTATCCGATGTTCATTAGGAATGTCTTTCCGTCCAAAATGACATTCCTTGTCAAGTCCCCAATGGCATTCCTTGTAAGATTCTACTGTCATTTTTCAATTAAATTGCAAATCAATTTCTGCTTTTGTTGCTTAAGTATTCTTATATGGTTTTGCAGATTTTCCTTTAAATGCATATAACAATTCAGTCCGCCCGCAATTTCAATACTTGTGCGGGCCATTTTTTGTTCCTTATCAAGGATTTTATGCAGCGCTGCAATCAAAATTTTCTTTTTTGCTGGTCAATCTGCGAGCGAACTTGCGGAAGCAAATTGAGTACTATTTTAGGTATGCTTGCAATATTGCTGTTTTAAAATTTTAAATGGCTCGATATTATTGATTAGTATTGTGTTGCATGTATCATTATTTCTTCAGTTCGGAGAATTTGTGCAATGATCATTACCTGAAAAAGCACATGGATGTCCACGGTTGGGTTCCAGTAACTTTGATTGCACAGTTTAGGAGAGTGAGTAATTTTGGTTTGTTTATTAGTTATTCTGTCTAGATTGACCTTCTTTCTTTTTTCCTTTTTTAAATTTTATTTTACAGGTGGTTTGGAAGCCAGTCTTAAGCAGGATTTATATAAGATTTATGCTAAATCCGAACAAAGGGATAAAAAAAGAATTAATAAATATTACAGGTTTTAAAATTTTTATCTTAATTTAAAAATTATCTAATTATTTATCAAATTTTATTAAGATTTATATATTAACATAGCAAACAGTTTTTCAGGATTTAAACCTTTTAAAATTTCATAAATTCGGATTTATAGAATTTACTAACTCTTATTCATACTAAATCCTACTTGAAACCAAATAGTCCCTTAGTTTACTTGTTTATTTATTAATTTTGCCATTGTATTTATTTGAATTTTATGCTTCATCCTTATAAAATTATTTATTTTCCTGTTATATAGGTTCAACAATTAATGAAGGAAAGACAATTCATATATGATTTATTCAGACTCTGGAGTTTTATGGAAGTGCAGGTAATTATGTATATTGTTTACCCAATAAAATTAATTGTTTTAACTTCTAGGAGATTTTTTTTAGCAAGAAAATTATCTTTCTTATAGAGGTTGGGACAATTATTACTATAATTATTATCATTTATTTTTATTGTGAAATCAACCTTAGAAATTATTTGTTGTTGTGTTACAGGTTAAGCCGTTAGCCGACGATATACAATTTATATTAGATTCTCTAAGGCCTTCATATGCACTTGAAATTCGGGTAAATAATATTTAATTGTTGGATTCAATATTGTGTTTTTGGTTTTTTCCATGAATTTTTAAAACTAAATAATATGAATCATAAGGACTAAAAGAAGGAATTAGGTTCCAATATTTTGTGCAACCTAGGATAATATGTTCTTGTACATTTTCATATTTCTATTTAAAAAAAGTATTATTGCATAAATTTTTTTGATTTGCAAGAACAATGCATGTTTCAATTCTATAATTTATGTGATAATTTTTTATTTACATGCAGGGTGATAAAGTGAGAAAGCGTCATGAATGGGAGAAATGGGTGTTACACCCATAAAGCTCTGCTCGTTCTGGGAACCAATTTCACACATCCTCGTATTATGAATTTTTGAGAAAGATTGTGCGGTTGGAGAATTTTGATGATAATAAATATTTTGGTTTAGAATTCATTATTAAAATTTTATAAGGATGAAAATCCAAATTTTAGAATTTATTTTGATATGAGTGCAATACATACATATCACATCAAAAATATCACTAATATTAATTTTGTTTTGGAGATTTACATACCCAGCTACCATAAGAATCCCCTAATTTTTTTAAAAGCGTAATGCCTTTTTCCATATATGTGAACTGATGAGAATCATGCTTATAGCACTAAAGATTGTTTTTTTATTTTTTATTTAGGTAAATATCAACAATTTGGTGTTAAATATGTAAATACGTAAGAAATATGTGGTATGCATGCAAATCACAAAAAATAAGTTTAATGATTTTGAAATTTGTTCTGGTTAAAAATTTTATAGATATTATTCTCGCCTAATTTTCTTTCATTATCAATTTATTTACAATTTGATGTTTTCTAAGGCTTGAAAACCTATTAAACGCTGGGACATCATAAATGTTTACAAACAAATGGAGAACATGGGAGAGGTGGGTCATTTAGTCCTTTACAATTAATTCTAGACAAGCTCGCAACAATCCACTTACACGATGGCATGGTGCGATCTACTCTTCTACCACGGGGCTATAGTGTTATGTGTTATTTTCTTTTAAATATTTTGTAGTTTTCTTTTTTGTGATGATTCAAGAGTTGGGGTCAATTTCTCAGAATATTCTTGTATGCTAGCCCTCCAACTTATTAGGATGACTATCCTTTCTAAAACATCTTTAATGTGACTTATTAGATTCCAAACTCTCTCTCTCTCCCTCTCTCTCTCTCTCCCTCGTTCTCTCTCTCTCTCTCACTTAGTGGTTCCAAAATCATTAGAAAAAAATTCGAGTTCACGAACATTATTAGATTTTTAACCGTATTCCAATATATCGATAGATAGAATAAAAACTTACAATGATGTCATTGCAATGCTAAAAGTAAATTATCAAATTTGTATAATTTGTAAAATCTTATGATGTTTGAAGCCAATTTTGATTTCTAAGTTTATTTATTTATTTATTTATTTATTTATTTTATATAATCTTGGAGTTAAAAGGAAACTAGATGCGTCCCTTAGTGCAATTAGACAGAAACTTTGTAACTCTTGTCGCGTGAGATCAATGCCTTCCTTTCAGTTTTCTATTTCGTGACTAAAAGAAAAAGAAAAACCATGATATATATATATATATATATATATATACTCTTCGTCATAAAATATATATATTTAAAAGGATAGTATTGGAAATACAGCTCCCTTATGTGTTATTTGTTCCCGCAGTAGTCAAACCCGGGTCAGATAAGACTTACGTCTCAGCTGCCTACCAACTTGCCACCCTAAATGCATCAAACATATAAAGTACATGGGTCGAGTTCAAATCATAAATTTAAATGTTCGATCTATTAGAATATATTATATGATTGGAAAAAATGTTTAAATTTGAAGTTCACTTGCAAAAGTGAAATATGATGTTTGTCCATGAAATAGTCAATCCTTGATGGGGGTGTAAATGAGTCGAGTTCAAGTCAAACCTGACTCAGGCCCTACTCGTTTGTCAAAGTACAAGCTTGAGCACAAGCTCGAGTTTGGCTTGTGATACTACTAATAGCAGGCTCACGAGCCAACTCGCAAGCTTGAATGAAATAGCCATGAGAGCTCACTTGAAAAGCAATATTAAGTGATCAAAAGCGGAAGATAAAAATAGGTGTTGTAACAGCTAACCTGATAAGAAATTGACATTAGCAAAATCATACCAGTCAAGTGGATCACGAGCCAAAGAGTTGAGTCTCAACATGCTCGAGCTCGCTGCTTCATAAGCTCAACTCATGAGCTCGTTAGAGTCAAGCTTGAATCGGCTTGGCTTACTTGCATCTCTAATCCTTTATTTTTAAACTTTTTGAAGTGATGGATAAATGAGCCCAATGTTTGGTGAATTTACGACTTTGAATTTTTTCTCATTTCTTATCACAGATTCAAAATCTGAAATATTTCTTCTTAAAAAATTTGTTTTATTTTTTTTCCACTTAACAACAATATCTCTTCCAACAATCAAATGCTTAACCTTCAATTTTTAAAAACCTATGCATAAAAGTTGTATTTCACCTTTTAAAACTCAAAATGAAGATTTTTTTTTTATTGATATGAAAAAGTTTGGATGGTACAAATTTTCAAAATAAAAGTTAGGAGTTACCATGTTCACTTACATAGAAAATAAGGGTATTTATGTAAATGTCCTAAATTTAAAAAACAGCAATAGCATTCTAAGTCCACAAGAATAGGAGAAAATATTATATCAGTCTCGAATGTGTAGATAAATGTGTCTTTCACTAGGTAGACAACAAATAAAATTTAAGCACTACACACACTCTAACTCCCTAAACTGCACCTAATATTTTCTCGTGGATCATACCACGCCGTGCGTCCAACAATGCGGTGCGATCTGAACTCTGCACCTAATATTTTCTCGTGGATCATACCACGTCGTGCGTCCAACAATGCGGTGCAATCTGAACATTGCATGTCTAATATTTTCTTCAAAAATAGAGGACGTAACCTCTCACATGCCTAGTTCACTTTCATCCATTCTAAGTAATACAAATACACGACATAAGAAAATCAGGAAGCAAGTTCGGGCTCCACTTCCCCATAAATTGATAAAACAAACAAAATTTTTTCTCTTAACCAATCTAGTCCTTATAAAACACAGCATCTCATTATGCCTCTTATGTTCCACTGCATCCATGTCTCTCTTCCTTGTTTCCAGCTTCCTCTTCACCGTACTCCCCTCAATGGAGGACGGCGCATTGGCTGGCGGGAGCAGCCTGGCCTGCACGAACTTGGTGAGTCAATGTCTCCAGGTTCAGCGCCGGCTGGTGCTCAGCGTGCGTGTAGGCACCGCTCGAAGCTAGAGTTGGCGACCGGAGAAACCATAGCCGCCGGCTGTGCTGCCGCCGTTGTGGTGGCTGTCTTTGCTTACATCTGGATCACTAGGAAAAGGAGCGCTGATTGACGGGGCCATACAAGATGTGTTTGCATATAATGACATCACTACTAATTTTAACTGTTGGTAGCATTATAGCGGTTAAAACCACTGCTCATTATTTGTGCTGCAAAGGCTTATACTAGCGATTCTAAAACCATTTGAGAAAAAACTTTCATCAACTCAACTTTTTGCAGCGATTTTAATTGCAATTTCAATTATAGCTGTTCTAAAACTCTAGGGAAAGAAGATTTTTAGCTGTGATTATTCTTTGAAACGGTTTTAACTGCTGCTGATTTAGCTATTTTCTTAATTAATTTTTATATAATAAACACATTTTCAATAAACTTATATATAGAATAACATGAACATATATTAAAAAAGATTTACATATGTTTTTTTATGTCTAACACAAAGTGCAAATGTAAAAAATTATAATTTGTGTTAGATATGAAGATAAATAGAAATGAGTGATATGTATGTAAATGGCCCAAATATGAAAAACAATGACAAAAAAAAACACAATTCATATAAAATATTAATAATATCTCAAATACATGAATTCATTATTTCAATTTCCAATAACTTCAAAAAAAAAGCATTCATTGAACATAAAATCACATAAATTCTACAAACTAAGTAGTAACATCCCCTAAATATTAAAACATCTAGCAATCCATAAGATAAACGTTATCAACCTTACAATAAAAAAATCAAAATATATCAAACAAAAATGCTTAAAAAAGGGATGATCAATACGTGAGATTCCCCCTCAATTTGTCATTCGGATTAAGGTTCGTTGCATCCCTATAAAGAAAAAAACACAACCAATTAATAATTTAAGATGATTAAAATGAATAAAATACTAATTACTTAAAAAAAATAACATACAGAGTGTGATCCTCTTTGTGGTTGATAATTTGGCTGCAATTGTTGCATGTTTTATCCTGCCTCATACTGTAAGGAGCGACATCAATGCGAAGAAGCAACAAAAAGAAGACTTCTCAATCGTCTTACAAATTGGTCCATTAACAAATCAAAATAAGGCACGCATTAATACAAAGCAGACAAAAAGAAGACTTCTCAAATCTACTCCTCGTGCAAAAAGTTCCTCTTTTTCAAGTAATAGTAAGTAGATATCACAATGATCAGTACACTAACAAGCACAACACCTAAAAAAAATGAAACCTTGTTGCAAGTTATGATGAGTGAATAACAAAACTTGAAAAGTCCAAAAAGAGTTTTGGTACGAAGTATGAGAATGAAATCCAGACATATTGAACATCTTAAGGGATAATCCATCAACAATCAATCTGTCATTCCATCATCAGAAGTTTCTCTTTTTCAAATATAATCTGCAGCATACTGTCAGTAGCCCAATTCCCTTATTGTGGATCCATCAGCAGGG